AAGTTAATGGGTGCGCCTGGCACGGATGTAAAGATTGCTACCCAAGTGACAACATGTTATTACCTAATGGTCTTACAGCGGGAAAGAAACGACAAAAAGATAAAGAAAGAATGGAATATATTTTGACCCAAGTAAAAGAAGTTAAAGTTTTTTGGCAATGTGAAATAGAAAAGATGTTAAGAAGAGATAGAAATATGAAGAAAAAATTTGATAATTATTTGGATGAAGGTCCACTGGAAATTAGAGATTGCTTTTTTGGAGGGCGCACAGGACCACTTAAATTATTCCATGAAGCTAAAGAAGGAGAAAAAATATCCTATTATGACGTAACATCACTTTACCCATTCACTAATTTTATTACAAACTACCCTATTGGACACCCTATTGTCCATAATTTAAATGAAGAAGTTAATTGGACAACATCGACAGACAACAAATATCAGCTGGCACTCTTGAAAGTATTTGTTATTCCACCAAAAACTATTGATATTCCTATAATTCCTGTGAAATTAGATGAAGAAAGACTACTTTTCCCGCTGTGCGCAAAATGTGCTAAAATGTACCCAAACGGAGGAAGAAACGAAGAATATAATTGTCAACATAGCGATAGACAACGAGGATGGGTCAGCACGTGCACCTCTATTGAATTAAATGCAGCATTGGACGAAGGATATATTGTCACCAAAATATATCGTGTATTAGAATATCAACAGTCAGACAACGAGCTTTTCCGTCCTTATATGCGGGAATTTCTTGCCCATAAAATCCACGCTTCAGGCTTTGATGAGAAAATAAAAGGAAATAGAGAAGAAGAAGAGAAATTTGTGAAAGAGTGTTGGGAAATGTTTGAAATGAAGATAGAAAGGGAAAAGATGATACCAAATAAAGGAAAGAGGGCAATTGCAAAGCTAGCTGTAAATAATCTGTGGGGGCGCTTTTCACTGAGAAATCAAGGCTTTACTCAAACGCACATCACCGACGACCTAGCTGAGCTTGGAGAGTATATTCACAACAATTCTATAGAAGTTGCGGCAATTGAAGAATTAAACAGCGAAACATTGATGATACGCTATTCAAAGAAGAAGGAATGGATTGAAGAACATGACAGCTCAAATGTGGTGATATCTTTGTGGACAACATCAGCTGCAAGGTTGCACTTATTGAGGCTCATGCAAAAAGTGGTACGAACGCCTGGCTGTTCACTACTTTACACTGGTATTTTTTCTTAATCTTTTTCAAAATATATTTTTATTCTTCAGATACTGACTCCTTGATTTTCGCCCACCCCGAAAACAACAATCCACTAGAACTCGGGCCACATCTTGGCGACCTGACAGATGAATACCCACAGCACAACATTCTTGAATATTGCAGTGGAGGGGCAAAACAATATGGATTGAAATTGAGAAGGAAGAATGGAAGTGGAGAAAATGAATATGTACTAAAGGTGAGAGGGATGACACTAAATTATGACGTTATGAATAACCAAAACCTCCGATACGAAACTTTTAAAAATACTGTTATTGATTATGTTAAAAACGGTGATCTTGACCCTATCTTTGTAATCTACCCCAACTTTTTACGCCCTTCTGTTGTAAATAGTTCTGTTACCTCACAACCCTTTCATAAAATGTATAAGCCTTTTGTTGGCAAGGGCATCATACGCCCGAGCGACTTCTCTGTATTAAATTTTGGCTATGTATCACAATAATCTCTAATTTTTATTTTGTACACTATCTATTTCAACTTATATTGTCTCTTTCTATTTTGAATTATATTTTTATTTATTATTTTTTCTTGCCTATATATTTTTATCTTTTCACTTTATTGTTAATTTTTCGAATATTTCATAATATTTATTTATTTTTAAATAAAAATTTTACAAATGGAAAATACTTTTTTGAAAAAATTAAGGAATGGAAAATACTTTTTTGAAAAAATTAAGGAATCGAAGATACCTATTTTAGGGGTAAAAACACATAATTAGTGAATAGAAGATACTATTTTGAAAAAATTAAGGATTAGAAGATACTATTTCAAAAAAATTAAGGAAGAGAAGATACTATTTTGAAAAAATTAACAAGTGGAAGATATTGATTTTAGGGGTAAAAAAGCATAATTAGTGGGTAGAAGATACAATTTTGAAAAAATTAATAAATGGAAGATAGCAGTTTTAGGGGTAAAAAAGCATAATTAGTGGATAGAAGATACAATTTTGAAAAAATTAAGGAAAAGAAGATAAATTTTACTGTTTTTTGGTGTTTTTTAGAAAAAATAGACAAAAAAGTGGTAAAAATGCATGTATGCACGTGTTTTATATGCGCGTGTGTTTTATAGGGGCGTGTGTTTTGTATGCAAGCATTTTGCATGCGCGAACCTTATGGATATAATCTAAGTCATTGATTAATTATAGTCGTATCCGAGTTGAAATTGAGAAGAAAAATGCAAAACACAAGTATAAATTTTAATCGTACCTTGCCTTAGCCTTATATATTCAAAATTTTTACGTTTAGGACCAATTTTTATATACCATTTACACAACCCTTAAGGAAAAATAGATATACTACATCAAAACTTTTTCATAAAAAATATAAACTTCAAAGTTGCCCAGTATCTTAAACCTATAGATTTAATTACCTAACTCTTGATTAGCTAACTTTCTTTTGTTAGTTAACAGTGTTGCCTTAATTAAATTATTATATCGTTACACGTTAGTCCAATAAATCTTCAAAAATTTCATAATATTTATTTATTTTTAAATAAAAATTTACAATTGGAAAATACTTTTTTGAAAAAATTAAGCAATGGGAAATACTTTTTTGAAAAAATTAAGGAATGGAAGATATTGATTTTAGGGGTAAAAAAGCATAATTAGTGATCAGAAGATACAATTTCTAAAAAATTAAGAAAAGGAAGATACTATTTTGAAAAAACTATGGAAAAGAAGATACAAATTTAATTTTAGAAATCAAAATTAAGAAAAGGGAAATACTATTTTGAAAAAATTAACAAGTGGAAGATATTGATTTTAGGGGTAAAAAAGCATAATTAGTGGGTAGAAGATACAATTTTGAAAAAATTAAGGAAAAGAAGATAAATTTTACTGTTTTTTGGTGTTTTTTAGAAAAAATAGACAAAAAAGTGGTAAAATGTATATATGCGCGTGTACATTGTATGCGCGTGTATTTCCTACGTCTATAAAATCACCATCCTTGCATGTATTCAAAATCATCTACCGATTGACTAAATTTTCTTCCTCCATAACAAAGATTATCATCGTAGTCGGAAAGAGGTACAGGTGATGTTGCATCAAAATCTTTTTCAGATTGTTGTGTTGACTGAGTTGTTTTATCAATAAAAATATTTGCCATCCATCCAGTTAAAGGTTCTTCCTCCACTAATTCTAATAATTCCAATGGGTAATATCTATCTTCATGAGTATTTTTCTGGATTACACACAGATGATATGGATGATTAAGTCTTATGCGATGACGTGCATAAAAATGCGCTGCAACATTAATATTAAAAGGTGAAGAAAGTCGTCCATAAGCGAGAATACTATTTGCCCCATTTCTACTCAAGTCGTCAAAAAATATAGTTTTGCTCATTCCATTATTATCCAAATAAGTTGTTTTTAATTTCTTTCCCTTTAGTTGTTTTAAAATTTTATCACGATTTGAAGGATGAATTAGTTGATAGCGCAGTGAGGTAACACTGCATTTTAGAATTCTAGCGATTTCGTCAATAAGGAGAACCATTTTTATAGAATAGAGAATTGGAAATACAAAAATTTTTGGAAATTTATAAAATGATTTTGGAAAAATGAAAGGATTCAAAAATCCTTCCTACCCCCTACCCCTACAATAAAGACATACACCATCCGATTCCTCCCCCTACCCCCGACAATCTTAAGCTTTATTTGACTTCCACTAAAATATTAAAATCATTTAGAAATTTTTCAAAAAATAATGAGCCAAATTATTCCTGAATTTAATCCTACCATTCCTCCTCCTGCTCTTCCTCTGAAGACAATGATGGAACAACCATCACCACCTCAGACTGTTCCTTTAAAGACAGTTATGAAACAAACATCCCCACCTCCGACTCTTCCTATGAGTACAGAGAAAATGGTACAACCACCAACAGCTTTTCCAGAAAAGCTTCTTTGGAAACTTGTAAAAGGGAAAACTGTTCTGCAATATCATCTTTGCTATGGTTATTTATTATTTTATATATGAATTTTAATTTAAAATTTTAGGGTGTCAAAATCGACTCTTCAATTCAAAAGACAAAATAGTATGCAATGGTGATAGAGTGATCATAAAGATTGAATTATGCGACAACTGTGTCAAAGAAAATTGTGATGCAACTGACTTACTATCGAACAAAAAGAGGAAAATTGTAAAGAAAACTTAAAATTTTTTAGAAATCACTTGAAAATTAAACTTTGTAATTTTAACTTTAATTTTAGTAAATATTTTAAATTAATTTATTTATATATTTTTTATTAGTTGACCCCTCATTTCTTAGTTTTATTACTTTACCATTTGTATCACCTTTCATAAACATTGGTTTATTTTCACATTTCTCACTCTAAATACATAATTATAGGTCAAGTCTAGAGGTATACGAGAGAAAATGAATAAAATATTCTCTTTTAAGTATTAACAATTTTTGCAGTTCTCTGAAGAAATAAATCATAGGTCAAGATTGAATAAATAGAGAATAATAGGACATGGCTCTATAGAAAGAAAAAAAATATTTTTTGAACATCTGTCATTGTTTTGGAGTAACTATTGGTTGAGTATGAAAAAGAGAAGAAAATATTTAAAAAAATATTTTAAAACTTGTTTTGTTTACATAGTCACTCACTTAAAAAGGATTAGAATGATCAAAAGTATTTAAAAGTATTTTATATTGAATAAAATAATCAAATTTTTAATTAAATAAATTATTAAAAATAAACAAAATGATTTTAAAACTTATTTTCCTTTTTAAAATCATTCATTATTTTCATGTGAAGTACCCTCTCCAAGTAATTTTGCCCTGCGGCGGCGTTTTCTTTCCGCACCACACAAGTCCTATCAAATATTAATTTATAATTTATTAAAATATTTGCAAAAATAATATTACTCTTCCTCCATGCTTCTTCCGCTTCTTAATTGTCTGATACAAACATAACGGTTTTGTGCAATCTTGAGGCAAAATTGGGACATAGTTTTCAGTTATTTCAATTTCCATGCTGGACTCTCTAGACAGACCCTTTAAAGATAATGATACGAAAATTTTTTATAATGATATAGAAATTTTAAATCTACTTGAGTTAAATTTGGTGTTGGTAAAAGTTCTTGCTGATTTCCCTCACAAGAACCAATCTATAATAATAATAACAATATCTAAATCATTTTGTTAATTTAAAATTACTAGAGATATCAGTTCTGCATTTGATGTCCCAGGCTGAGAGATTTCATTACCTTATAAAAAATAAACTATAAAGGGGATAGTTAATTAAATTAATCTACCAAAATTTAAGCGTTGACGCTTAAGTTTTTTCCTTAAAGGTCGCCATTCTGGATCACGCTCCTCATCGTCTGAAAGTTCGGCATCAGTCCATCCTTTGTATTTATATCTGGGAGGAGAAGGTAACTCGGATGAACTCCTAATTTCGTGGACAGGCGTTGTCCCTTCGATATGGAGATTAAACCATTTATGTCTAAGGTCTTGGCAATCCTGTAAATATTCGGTTAAAATAAAAAATAAAAGCAAAAATACTGAAAGATTGTTCTCATCTTCCCAAGTCATTTCTTGATAAGAGTATCTTTTCCACTTTATAAGGAATTGACGAGAGGTAAGACCAGTTGTTAAGTTCTGAACGATTCTTGAGGTGAGTATTGACTCAACTTCATATTCACCTTGAATAATTGGTGGAGGAGTAGGTAGACGTGGAGGTGGGGTAACAAATCCTTTATTAGATGGAGGTCTCAGATTCAACATTTTTTAAAAAATTGAGTTTATTTCACGAAATAATAAATAAAAATTTTATTTTTAAATCAAGTAAACTATTTTCTTTAAATTTTATAAAAGAAAAATACCGGTGACTAAAGTTTCTAATACGGATAAAAGGGAAGAACGTACCTATAAAGTCAGGTCGCCACACCTAAAGGCCGGTTCACCAACAAAAGTTGGATCGCCTCACCTAGAGGCCGGTTCACCAACTTTATAAGTTAAGGAAAGGAATTTTCCCCAAAAGGACCCCTAAACAACCTATAAAGTCAGTTCGCCACACCTAAAGGCCGGTTCACCAACAAGTTGGGTCGCCACACCTAGAGGCCGGTTCCCCAACTTTATAAGTTAGGAAATAAAGACCACTGCCATCTACAACCGATGGAAACCCAGGAAAAACCAAAGAACTATTACACTTATTCTCTTTTAAAATCTTAAAAAGATAGTTTACTTAATTTAAAAATAAAAATTTTGTATTTAATTATTTTGGGAAATAAACTCAATTTTTAAAGTTGATATCAATAAAAAATTTAAATATTAATGAATAAATTCTAATTAATTTAAATTATAAAAATTATTTAAAAGTTTAATACAAAAGTCAACTGAGAAAATCTATCAAATTAATTATTAGAATTTTTACTTTAAAAAAAAACAAATTAAGCAAAAGAAATAAATAGAGATAGATAATTCTTATAAATGATGATAAATTATTAATTTTCACTCACACCTAGGACTAGAAAAATAAAATTTTTAGCAAATTTTAAGCAACATTGGCAAATTTTTAGTTTAGTAAACCAAAATAAATATTTTTACTCTATTGAACATTTTGAGATGTGGCGAATTAGGGGTGTGACGAATTACGGTTGTGTCCAAATAAGTGCCCAAAATATTCAAAACGCCAACATTTTAAGATTTTTTTTTTGAAAAATGACTAAATATGGATAAAATATGGAAAAGGAAGTCCAAATTTTTGAAAATAACCCTCAAAACTTTCGCTGCGGCACAGAAAGCAAGATTTTTGGCTTAAAGGTCTTTCTAAATTAAAAATTGTTTCACCTATGACGCTAAATGAAGAAATAAAAATGTTACATGCAATTCTTCCTATTTCCATAAGATGATCAATAGTAATAAAATTTTCCTCAATTCAATTATTGGAGTCAAAAAATATAACCCATAAAATGATTTTATTGTTTTTGATGAACGCCTGCGGCGCAAAGGTTTTTGCGGATTTTTAATATTAAATACGGATTTTTTTCAGAAATACGGATTTTAAAAATTCGAGATCGAAGCCCTGGAATAAAGGGAAATAAGAAAAGAAAACGTTAAATTAGTAATAATGAAAGGAAAATTTTTTGATTATTAAAAGGAGAGAAAATTGAGAAAAAATTAATTGAGATTAGAAATTTCAAAAAAAACTTTTTCACCTAATAAACTTAGAGGTTGAATAAAATTCTTTTAATTTAATTATTGACTAAAAATTAAAAGAGAAGAGATATACATATAGTAAATAAAATTTAGTTTAAAAACTAAAAAATAATCTTAAATAAATATAAAAAATATTAATTGTTTAAGGGCTAAATATTTCTAAAAATAAAGGAATTAAAAAATATAAAATAAGAAATTATTTTTTTGGGAATGGAAGAAAATGTGGATAGCTTTTCAATCTATGAACATCTGCTACGAGCAAGTCCTAATTTTCAATTTTTCCTCCTATTTTAAGAAAATTTTTCTCTTGCGCAATCTTTTTTCCGCCAACATTTTTTGGCCTTTTCGCTATTTTTCCCCATTTTTCAATCCTCAATTCTTTCTTTTATTATTGTCGAGAGTGAGAGAGAGACAACTATTGGCTTCTTTTCACATCTGTTATTTTTTTACATTTTTTGGTTGCGCAACCAAATATTTTTTTTTTTAATTTTTAATATATTCAATATTTTTATAGAAAAAATAAAGTAAAGTTATTAGGAAAAAAAGTTTAAAAATAATTAAATTTTTTAAATAAAAGTTTTTTGTGGTAAACATTATAGTAGTTATTATAATTTGAACAATTTATAATTATAAATTCATAATTTTGACGGCACATTAAAGAAAAAAATAAACCGATTAAATTTAAAATATTTGCGGGAAAACCTTATGTTAACAATGACATAAAAATTAGTAATCATATCCTTATGTTGTTGGCAATTAAAAAATAAAAATATCATTTATTCATAGGTAAACTTACTTCAAAAGTTTTTTTTTTAATTTTGTGCGAAAACGATTAGTTAATATGTACCCTTAATTAAATCCTTTAAAATTGTCGACAAAACAAAAAGGTAAAAGAATGTGCACACCACGCAGTTTTAAAAATATTTTGCGCGAAAATTACCGTCGTGGGGGAAAAAGCAATTTGTATTACAAATTGTATTTCAAACTTTTAAAATTTTCAAACAAAAATCACCGTCGTGGGAAAAACAGTTTGTAAATAATTATGTTATTTTTTTGTCGGCAACTTCAAAGGGATAAAATTTAACACAATTACAAATTGCGGCAAGATAAAAGGTCAAAACACCCCTTTAATAGGTTTCCGTTGTCCAGCTGGCAATAATTTACCCCAAAAGTAAAAGGGTCAGTTATTGACAGCCACGACGGTGGGGTCGGGATAACTACTGCCTGCACTTTCTATTTTATCTAAAAGAATATTTATTGGTACAGTGTCAAATGCTTTAGCAAAGTCGATGTAAATAATATCTATATTATATCCATCTTGTATTGCATTATATAAATCATCCATGGTAGATAATAACTGTGTGGTTGTGGACCTTTGTTTAAGAAATCCAAACTGATTTTTATTAAAGAACTTATTATCTTCTAGGAATTTTGTTAATTGCTGTGCAATAATTCTTTCAAGTATCCTACATAAGGTGCATGTTAGCGATATTGGTCGATAATTTTTTGGATCTGATTTTTCTCCCTTTTTAAAAAGTGGTATAATTAGTGATGTTTTCCAAATAGATGGAATTTGCTTATTATCAATAATACATCTAAAGATATCTGTGATTATTTTTGCAAGTGAGTCAGCGCAATATTTTAATAATATATAAGGAATGTTATCTGGCGAAGTTGAATTACGATTAGGAAGTGATCTAAGGACATCCCACACAATGCTAGTGCTTAGATCTATGTCTGAAAGTTTTGTTTTCGGAATTATATTTCTGTTATAATTTGATATATTAATATTTTTATTTTGAAAGTTTTTTTGAAATTCTTTTCCTAAAATATTACATTTTTCTTCATTACTGAAGTAAAATTTATTTTCTTTATCAATTAAACAGGGTATGTTATTATCTTGAGTAAGTCTGTTTCTAATAAACTTATGTATTGAATTTCCACCTTTACTTATTATTTTTTCTTCCTTAGTATTATGATGAATTTTTAATTGTTTTTTCAGGTTTTTTGAAACGATTTTATACTCAAGTCTTAAGTTATCAAAGAGTGTCTTTTCAGAATCTTGCTGACATGAGACCATAGTTTGGAGAGTTTGGAGTCTTGTTCGGACAATGCTTAAGTTGAAAATGCGTCAAAAATATTATTTTTCTCAAAATTCTCGATTTAATTTAAGATAAGACTGAGAAGACGGAATGACCAAATATTATTATTTTAGTTCTAAAATAAAATTGAATAAAAATTCAGATTAAAATCTAATACATATTTGCTAGAAAGTATAGAAAATTGTAGGGATTTTGGGACTTATCTCTCTCTAAACTACGGTTTGGACTTGACTAGTAATGAACAACGAATATCGAGTACGAATTTTTGGGTTATCGTTCAAAGAAAACTTTAAATGTTTAGAAAGGCGACAGAATGTTAATTGTAGAAATAAAAAACAGTACGACAAAACAGAAAAGAATGAGCACAATACTTATAAAAATAATCGGGAACCCCTGAGCTTGCTTCTAGTATAAAATAAATAACTCTTATTGGAGATGTTCTGTTCGGCAGTAGAGCCAAAACTTTTACTTAGAATAATAAAACATGTTCGGCTGTATCAATATTCAAGTTTTCAAGTTGCTTTTTTGTGGATGAGCTCAAATGGCATCGGAAAGAGTCCCATACTAGCAGATGGTCACCAAATAAGGATTGACCTAATAGTTTTTACGTATTCTTCTGTAAGGCTGTCGTCCATCCAGTTTTTGCCTCCCCAGACCAAAATAAATAGCAACCGCTTAGTTAAATAATTAAATAAAAAAGAAAGTTCAATAGAGGTTGTCGTTCTATTTCTCAACCAAAAATATTTTAGAACTAAATTAATAATATTTAGACATTCTGTATTCTCAAAGTCTAATTTAAAATAAAATTGAAAATTTTGAGAATATTTTTATTTTCAATTTAGGCATTGTTTGGATACCTAAAACTATGGTCTTCAGCAAGATTTTGAAAAGACACTCTGCTGTAATATGCGGAATCTTCAGCAAGAGTTTAAAAATTTTCTTCCAAACTTCTTGATTTAACAGTCAACTTTGGATTTAATTAAATTAAAAAAAAGACTATCTTATGAAATATAATATCAATTTATAATTTAATTTAAAAACAAAAGTACATTTAAATTTTGTCAATCAATAAATTGAAAAGTACTATTGCTTGTAAGTAAAAATAAAAGAGGGTACGTGTTAAAGACATGAAATCATAATTTACCGGTTAATGATTATGAGAAGTATGAAAAATTAATTGATAAAAAATTTGGATAAATTCGGCATTATCATTGAAGATATAAATTTTTCTGATCAAGAAACGATCAGGAGAATCCTTACAATCATCAAAGGTAGTCTTTAAATATATAATTTATTAATTTTATTTTCTACAGAAAAATTAACGAATATGTATGTTATCCCAGAAAAGTAATTATTTCCAGCTAAGAAATTGACTTGTATTTTTTTATTAGACAAAATATACCATTCTTTGCCATAAAAGATCCTGATTTAACAACAATTTTATATTGCGTCTTGACTGGTTTAA